TAAAGGCTTTTTTAGTTTCGGGTTGTATTTAATCTTCTAAAACCCATCAGATCGTCTGCTTTTTGGTGCCGCCAAAGCCTTGTTTGATCGGTGAGTGATGTAGAATAGAATGACTGGTGCGCTTGACAGGGCGCAAACGACCAGAGCAAGAGAGAGAGAGAGAGAGCGCGCCCCGGCCGCATGCGAGCACTCTCACGTCTTTTAACAACACGAGCGCTGTCTTGCTCTCTCTCCCTCGCGCATATTAATCGAAATCAATTGACACGATAGTAAAAGATCGAAAGTCTGCAGTTTCACGTGGTTTTACGGTATGCCTATTCTGTCATATTTACATCATGCGCTCACGGCTAGCTCCCACCTCTCACGCTCAAGCCTCGTCAGAAGAAGCGCGCGAGTAGATGTTCTCGCGGCTAGCTCTTTGCTACACAAGAGCTACCCCACCCTAAAAATACACCATGCACTCGCGGCTAGCTCTCACTTTGGACGGCAAACAGCCTCTTGCGCTCCCACGTTTTCTTCCCTCATCGAGCCTCAATGGAAGAAACGCGCGGGTGTTGAAGGTGTGCCCCCCTAAAAGTGTCCGCCGTCCGGGTGAAACAGTATGCTATTTTTATTTACCCGCCACGGTGGCCCGTAGGTGAAGTGAGTTTACCCGCCACAACACAAAATCACCCGCATTTGGCTGGTGGCGGGTGCTAATTTCCAGCCTTGATACAGAAAGCTAATCGTCATTTGACGTCATATAAATGCTAAACATCATTTGTATCGTCATATGTTTTTTCTCAGCCTCGATATGTAGCACTGCAAGTTGGAGATTTCTCTTAGCCCTCCTATTTGCTTTTTCATTACTTTCGCATTATTTGTATGTCCACATTCCATCTCCATTTTCACTGAACCCACAGCACACAACAAAAACGCAGCTCCGATCGCGGCGTTCTCCATCCTCCAGTTGTTGAATGCTGCAATTAAAAGACTTTACTGTTGGCTGGCTTGCATAATTTCCGAGTTCCTACTGGCGGTGCGATTGCAACCTGGAAAATGGCCCTAAGGGAAAATTTTGTTCTGGGAGGACCTCCTAGATGGCTAGTTCCTAGAACTAAGTCTCAAATGGTAAACAGTTGCAACTAGTACTTACAGAGACACTTAGGTCAATGATGAAAACTTACTATTGTTCGGAACAAAAAGTGCAATGGAACAATGTGGAGGGAAATTGAATTTAAACTTAAACTCAACACTGTTTTTTTGTATCACTCTTGTGTAGGTACCCTGGACTGACTGAAAGGTGCATACACATGAATGTAAAGACTGTCAACAAGTTCCCTCTCAGATTTGAGAAATCAAGAGAGAGCCTAATTGGCTGAACATGGTTTTTATTATTTTTGTGATGTTGGTCTGCTTGGGCAGTTTGAAAATATTGTATATTTGTCAAAGTTGTGAAATGCCAATTGTATTTTTCTCTGTTGTCCAATTCTTATAACCATGTATAGTGTTTAAATAAAGTGAAGCTATTTTATCTGTTCTGGGTGTTGTGTGTTTCTTGTGCAAGTGGGATACAATTATTTGCGTGAATTTATGCTTTTTTGTTTCTTGTATTGCTAGACTTTGGATTGTCATTAGAAAGTCTGGTCTGCAGATTATTCTGGCCATGAATTATTCTGCTTGGTAAAACCAGTAGAGAGGCCTTATTACCAATCTGTGAGAAACCAGCAATAGTTTATGTTTTTATATGCCATACATCTGAAATGTATCATATTACGGTGACTAAAAATGGAAAAACTCAAATTATGGCATCTCTGTGAATAATTGTATAATAAGTACATGAGAAATTGATGGAAAATGCATGTAGACCTATGAATTTTATGATGGGCCAAATTAATGTGGCACTAATATGGCTGTTTTTGGCAGCGATTAGTTTTTCCTTGAAAATGCTCAAAGGCCCTTGTTGCAAAAACTACTGGTTTCAAGAGCTTCGCTGTCGCCTCAGGGGTCAAAGGGTGTACTCATCAAGGGGGTGCTTGTGGGCTACCTTCCAATACCTAAAATGACACATGGGCCCCCTACAGTCTTGTGGACAGACCATTGAGAAAAAAGGAAAGTCCACAGCTGCCAGATGTAAAAAAAATAAATAAAAGGCCTTTAGAAACAATAATGTTTCTTTTTGGGCTGTGCAGTGGTTCTTTTAATTGTGTAAAATCAAATCTGATTGAAAATTGTGACTTTTCAAAAGTGCTTTCCAGTTTTATTGTTCAATATGTATCAGAAGTGCATCAGTGAAAGAAATATGAGCAGTGTCCCATCTGCATAATCAGACTACCTGTCTACCTCAATATCCAGGATGAGATAGGCATTACTGTTACTCTCTTAATATCTGGGACTTCGTCTTCTGGCACAGAGCTTAAAGACAAAATTTTACATGGCAACCAATCCCAAGATTTTTATGAATCACCAGATCAGGAGGAACTGAGCAGAATGTGCATTTTCATCTCACCATAGAATGCGTCTTTTTCAGAGATTTAACTAAAGCGTGCCCCCAGGGAAAAGCAGTCTGCCTTGAATGGACCGTCTTAGTGGTCTCGCAGTGTGAGAGATGCTGTCGATCCAGCAGAAATAAAAACATTGCCAAAAAAATTGAAAACTAATATTTTACGTTAGTTAAGTTGGCTTTATATCTTGATCCAGGACATAAAATTAATTAAGTTTTGATGAAGACACGCAAGTATGCGAGTCATTACATGAGCAATTTAAGACCATGATGAAGAATGCATGCTGAGAATTCTTTGCATAGTTGTCTTCATGTGGATGGGCTATTGTAACATGCTTCAATGACAAGTTAACAGAAGATTCCTTAGACGTCTTACTGCAATGGACATAACATTTATTCATTTTAGCTGACGCTTTTATCCAAAGCGACTTACAATTGCTATATATGTCAGAGGTCGCACGCCTTTGGAGCAACTAGGGGTTAAGTGTCTTGCTCAGGGACACATTGGTGTCTCACAGTGGATTCGAACCTGGGTTGATCACACCAAAAGCATGTGTCTTATCCACTGCGCCACCCCCCAGGTGGTGATGAACAAAATCTACATCTCAAATTGTACCGCTTTTAAAAAATCGTGTGCTATCATTTCTACAGTTAGTCGGGATTTACTCTAAAAATATTTACTTTTACAGTAGGAATGCTCTTTTTATTTTTTTTTATTAGGGCCGAAGCACCTTTGATCCACACAGAAACACGATGAAACACTTTGCATTGGCATTGTCATGAGTTATGCCTGCTCCAGATTGCACGATTTTTTTGTCTGTTACGATAGTCACTGTGTCAGATTACGCAATTTTGTCTCCTAAAATCTTGTGTCATGGACAAGACACATGTCAGACTACACGTTGCTTTCTGACCAGTCATTGCATGCCGTCTTTAGTGCTTGATGTCATTGAAAAGGCGAAACTAGTAGCGAGTGACTTCCGGAAATGAACGTAAACAAATGGATGAAGCGGTGAGTGTTGTATTGGCTGTCCTACATGTGCTCAGAAAAAAAGTTTAAGAAAGAAAACCCCGACAATGGACGCGTTCCTGGATTGCTCGAAGAGGACAGTATGGGCTGTCAATCCTCCAAAGAGAACTTGAGGTAAAATATTGTTTTCTTATATATTTTTACTTTTAGTTTTAACGTTAGCATCATTGTCTCTCTTTCGTTTCGCCATTTTTGAAAGTTGTGTAGGCTACGGAAAAGCTTCTGTGCTCCTATTGGTCAACCTCTTACATGTGATGGAACCGTCATGGACGACCGTTAAAAAAATTAAACATGCTAGTCTTTTTGTCGTGATGTCGTGAAGCATCACAGACGCGACGTAGGTTGTCGCCCACTAAGACACAGTATACGAGATGATACGATCGAATCTTGCGTCCCGACGCCCGTTGTCGTTTACGATTCCCCAAGACACCCTACATCAAACGGATCGTGCCAAAATCGGAACCAGGCATTAAGCATGAGCAAAGACCACTCACAATTGATTTTGAAGATGAATAAAAGTACATGTTAAGTAATTTATAGAATTTGTATCTTTTATAATTCCATTCCCTGGGATGATGCAATTGGTTCGTTGGCTGACAAGGACTGCTAATCAGGCTCAAGTCACAGTGGGTATTGGGTTCAAACGTGCACCTCTTAGTGTCTATCCTCGATTTTTTCCACTAGGAGTACTACTCAAGTATGCGAAACAAATCATTTTGTTTGTTTTGTTTTCCCAGATACTCAAGCAGATGATGCAGTTTTTTTAGTAATGTAAAAGCTGTTCTCATTTGTCAAAGGCCCATGAAGTTGTTCTTCATTCACAGAAGAACAGAGGTTTCTTTGAGCAGAGACTGGCATGTTTTGTTCAGAATGCTGTACAGCGATACTTTAATTGCCAAAGAGATATGCAGGAAAAACGATTGGCCCATGTACTCCATGAGGTCATGGGCAAGGTATGTTTTCGCATGCCTTCCACACCCACCTTGGACACATAGTGGGGATATTTTTAATCTAATGATCCCAGGTATGCCAAGACCATAAAGTCTCAAAACAGTTTCTCCAAATGACTCAAGACCTTGACATGAGGAGTATCCATATTGATTCCTGATGTTTTGTTCACTCGAATGTTTTCTCACACTCCTCCCTGCAGACCCCAGGACTGTATTTTTTTCCAGCTCTAACAGTTTTTGACTGCAATAAATCATAAGTTTCCAAAAAAAAGTTGGGCATTTTAATGTAAGGTGTTTCCTTGCCTTAATTCAACTTCAGGCCCATATTTCATCGAAGACGGCTGTTTTTAATCGTGTTTCTACAAATGTTTGGAGGACTTTTTATATTGATTTATTATATTCTAAAGCAAACAGGGATGATGGGCTCAAAACTGCAGTAATTATGCCATGCATTGCACCATCGCTTGCACAGCTCAATGTGTTAATTGAAGAGAGTTGTGCGTTTCTCAACAGTGAGGGGAGATGCTACGACTGTGAAAACAGCACACGGGGGGGGGAGCGAGGGAGATTGTGGGTGTGTTAGCGCGTGAGAGAAAAAATAGGGGAAGGGAGGGAGAGAGGAGAGAAATAAAAACAGCACAAGAGGACAGCAGACAGAACGGAGGAAAAAATCCCTCTGAGGTTCCACCATGTTCCTGCAGACTGTCTCCATCCTCTTCCTCTCGGCCATCCTCTTCGGCTGCCTGGAAGGTAAGGTGAAACTCTCTCTCGCATCTGATTGCGATGTCGGAATGGGGCGGTTGGGACCAGATCTCGGTGGGAGGGAAAGAGGCATAATGCTATGATAGCCAGACTGGTTCAGAAGCTTCGGATGCTGGAGTTTCACGCATGTCTGAGTATATGAGGTGCGTTAAAACATGAGGGGTGGCTGTGCCTGCTCCAAAAAGAAAGAAAAGGAGTCCAAATCTGATGTTGACACTCGATTTCCTCTGCAAACTGTTGAACATGCCAGTTTCAATGCACAATTTGATCAGTTATGGTCCTTGACGATGGGTTCCAGGTGTGAATCTTTCTTGAATTCTGCTGCTGGTTTGTGACTTCTCTCTATGCCAGGGAAAGGTGTGCAAATGCAGAGAGATGTCCAGTGCTGCATGCAGTACTCTCACGGCAAAGTCCGGACCAAAGACGTCCTGAGGTATGAGAGGCAGACGGAGGGGCCGGATTGCAGCATAAGAGCCATCATGCAAGTATTCCAGGCATCCTGGAACAATCACAGACATGGAAAATATGCCCTATTAAAGCTCACAGGCATTGCCGTCTAAGCGGGTCAGATTTTTATTACTGAGAGCAGTAATTGTCAGGCAAGTAGTGCAAAAGAATGCACTCAGGCTGGGTGGACAATACCCAAACTGTTTCTTCACCGGGGCCAATTTGGCCTGCGCTGACTTGAAGCGTAGCAGATTAAGAGATTTGGATTTGCTGTATGTAAAGAGAGAGGTTTTGGAGGGAGCTCTTGAAATCTTGGCACTCACGTTCTCGATTGTTTGAATCATGACAGATTGTACACCAAAAAGGCGGTGAAGTGCGCTGATCCGAGGGACAGGAAGGTGAAGAGGTTACTACGGAAACTGAACCAGAGGCAGGGAGCCAAAGCCCACAGGACCATGTGGACACATCGGCATATGAATCTGCCCGTCATGTCGGAGGTAACATCTCCATGATGGAAGTTACGGCAGTATTGCTGTCCAAATAAAACTTGTGCTTGAATTGAGGATTAAAGAACCGTTTTCTCTTTATTGACAGGTCGCTGTTGTTAACTCCCAAAAGATGAACAAGGTAAAAAAAGAACTGCAGGATGCCATTGCAGTAAAAGTCCCATTCATTTTTTCCATCGATATATATTGATTTCTGATATCAACATTTCATGGTGGACCTACCATGAGCTCAGAGGTTAAGGGGTGGTACATGATTTTGACAAGTCAGTGTTATTTCAGATTTTTCTGAAACAAAACTGCATTTCATTGGTAAATTCCCAGTAAAAGAACTACAATAATCCTGAAGAGAGATCCACCAATGGGCTTTATGCCCAGCTGCACTACTTCCTGAACTTCAGCCAGCTCCTTGTTTCCTGTCTGCCATTATTGGTCAAATTGATTAATTCAGGTGTACCTGACCTCAGTAGTCATGGCAACAATAATCTGACACACCTGAATTAATCAATTTGGCCAATAATGGCAGACAGGAAACAAGGAGCTGGCTTAAGTTCAGGAAGTAGTGCAACTGGGCATATAGCCAATTAGAGAAGTTGCTGTTACCATGGAATTGGAAATTGGTGCATAAAGGTTCAGCAGCGACCAACTACTCCCATGAAGAGTTATGAATAAGAATGCACAGATATATTGTAAGTTCAGAAAGCCAATCGTTATTTTCACGTTATGGCCAATATGTATTTTCTATGGAAGCTTGTTTCCGCCACGGAATAAAAAATGTAAAAGATTATTGCGACTTTTTATCTCACAGTGCTGACTTTTTTCTTTCTTAGAATTGCGAGAAATAAATTCACATTTCCAAGTTATAAAGTCAGAATTCCGGAATAAAAACTCCCAATTGCGATATTCCGGAATTCTGACTTTTTTTCTCACAAATATGAGTTTCTTTCTCGCAATTCTGAGAATAAAAAGTCAGCATTGTGATTATAGTCCAATTCTGAGGTGAAAGTTACTTTTTTTTTCTCAGAATTGATAGCTTTTATCTAACAATTATGACTTCATAACTTGCAGTCGTGTCTTTATATCACACAATTCTGAGAAAAAAAGTCACAATTACCTTTGTAATTTTTTATTCGTTGGTGGAAACAAGCTTTCATAGTTTTCCATATCATCCGATACTGTTAAAATGAAATTTAAAAAATCTCTACTCTCGGAAAATAACCAATTTGGTATTGTTGTGCATATTGCAGTGAATGACTTAATCGAGTCTACACTTTAGATTTCATATACTTTGCAATAAACCTCAAATATATGGTATTTCATAATAATAATTAATGACTAGTCAATAGTTATACATCCATTTATTTCCATCATCCTAGTTTCTGATTCAATTGTGCAATTTATAAAGCTTCATGAGATAAATTGATCACTCATTCAGGAAAAATTATATATTTTTTTCTGTACCACTGTCCTTTTTTCTGTATATATATTTTTCTGTACCACTGTTTTAGTTTAAATGTATGATTAATCTAGGTGCTATCCGGTTTGTTTCATGGCTAAGAATTTTCTTTTAAGATTTTTTTTTTTTAAATGGCAATGTCTATAGGTAACTGTTGTGCTTTTAGTATCATCGTTCGCTGCATGCTGTTGTTATTGTTGGTGGTGTTGTTTGCATTAGTCTTCAATTTAAAGATATTAAAGTAATCAGAGTTGTTGTTGTTTTCTTTCAGACCAAGTGAAATTTGAGGGAAGACGGGTGATTGATGAAAATCCAGCCTTCTCGTGTGTCACTGTTTTCTTATATATGTATAAGAAAATATATGTAGACTCATCACATTTACTACCAAACAGTATGTTATTCAGATATATTGTGATATTTAGATGTCCTCTCAAATGACTGTTAATCTATATGCCAAAGTATTCTTCTCTGAGACTTGTTGAAGGTTGTTTATAATCTCTGCAGCTATGTATAGTCTCTATAACTTATACAAGCTCTTCTATAGAGTCCATTAAGCTGGTATGACTGTTCTCGAACAATTTATAGTGCAATTACAGAATCTCTTGTGTATGTTAAACACAACTGATTTTTATATATAAAAATAAATGAAAAATATTCAAAATCAATTTGTTTTTATTGTATATAGGTCTGCACCATTTTTCCCTTTTGGATGTCTTTGTTCTTTCTGGAAATCTACACTTTTATACATTTTCACACCTAATTTTGATATAGAAAAGATTTTACACTCTTATCTGTGTAGGGGAGCCGGGATAGTCTCCTGCATCTCTGGGACTATACAAAGGACAAAAATCTTGGAAAATTTATGAACTACACTTTAAGGCATAGTATGTAAGTTTCACTGCTAGAGGTCGATTATTCAAAACCATAACAAAGGTGTAGCATGATGATGCCATGAATGATGGAAAGAAATCTGAACTCATGTTCATAGATGGGCTAATGTGTTCACATTTTATTAACTTTACTGTTGAATGAAGCAGGTCTGGGACATTTTACGATGATGTTTTAATGAGATCCTTTAGGTAGATCCTTTTCCTATTTAGCACCAAAACACCGGAACATTCTTCCTACTGTATATACCATTGTCCAGGAAGCAGACACTCATCTCAGGCCCAGAAGGAAGAAAAGGAATAGTCGAATAAAGTCGTTATTTTTGTTTTATTTCCGCACAAAAAGTATTCTCGTCACTTGATAAACTTATAGTTGAGCCACTGTTGTCATGGAATATTTAAACATTTTTTTCAATGACCTTCTGGGCCGTCAAGTTTCAATCCTTTAGGAGCCTATAGCAGTGGTCCACCTCTCAAATTTAATCAAAAATATCTTCATTTGTGTTCCAAAGACGAACGAAGGTCTTACGGGATTGGTACAGCATGGGGGTGAGTAATTAATTGCTTGATTTTCATTTTTGGGTGAACTAACCCTTTAAGGGTTTCTGTTAGAACGGTGTCGTGTTGGCCGACAGTTTCTGTTAGAACGGTGTCGTGTTGGCCGATCTTTGCAACAGAAGTGAATCAATCAAAACTAACTTTAGCTGGACAATACCTTTATTCTAGAGAGCTGCTGTATAGCCAAACAATCTCTTTTAGCCCTGCTTTAATTTTCTATTATCACTGTAAAGCTTCTTTGAAACAATCTATATTGTTAAAAGCGCTATAAATGAAGAAAAAAAGAAATGCTTATGCTGCAGTCAGTTGCTGTCGCTCCTTTTGTTTTGTTGCTTATGTTTATTTTACCATTAAAATTATGATTAAAGTTACGTTTAAAGTTCGCCTCCTTCTTTCCTAAACTTGAATTTTATTAGGATTACGTTTGATCACTTAAGTTCACATCATTTTATTTCTAATGAAACAGCCGCAAGTACAGGTCACTTTATCTGACAAATTAAAATTGTAAGGTAACGCAGTGCTGTTTTTCTTGGTCAATACAATCATATTAAAAATACATTTGAGTGTGTTGAATGTTATGTTTTAACGTTCCTTTGTGCATTAGCTTAGTGGCTGATATCGTTTTACACTGCAGTAAGCTAGATCGACATTAGAATATGATATTAATGAAATAAATAAAAAGCTGTTATAAATAAAGCTGAATATTTTGAGCTGCATGCAATTGACCTTATTCAGAGCAGCGCCATGACAGGTATGAAAGTGAGGCTGTGAGGGATAGACTTACCGTGTTTCCAATGGCATCCGCAGTAAAAAGCTGAATAAAGCGGCTAGATTACTTACAATTTTCCACAGCTTATATTGTCGGGAGTTTTTTGTCAACTGAAATGTCTTGGAAAGATATTTTTCCAGTGTTTCATGAGCAGAACAATCCGAAAACACATTAAATAACAGTACAGCCCATTGAAGAGATGCAAGTCTATCCCTCACAGCCTCGCTTTCATTCTCATTAAAAATCAAAGATGGCGCTGCTGTGAATAAGGCGTATTTTACAACATTATGGCCCAGTTTCACAGACAGGGCTTAAGCCAGGATTAGGCCTTAGTTCAATTAGGACAGTTAAGTAGCTTTTATAAACGTGCCTTTTAATAAAAACAACATTACTGTGCTTCTTGAGACAAAACAATAGCACTGGCGTATTTTAAGATATGTCAGTGCAAGTTGTTTTCAGTATAGCTCAATACTGTATTTTAGTCTGGGACTGAAGCCTTGTCTGTGAAACGGGTATATGGTGTAAATGCTGTATTGCTGTTACTACAAATAAAGCTCTTTCTGATTATAGCCACTTTACAAAATAGTGTTGTCTGATTTAATGTTGTGGAACAAACATGTTCCTCAGGGTAAATCAAGAAAACAAGAGATTCAAACAATAAGCCTATAGGTTGAGCCACTGTATGCAATGATTTTTATTTATTTTTTTAAATAAAAGTATCCAAACGGTTGCTCATCTGTCTAAAACACATCATATTAAAGTGTCTTTGGTGTTTCCATGGTTTCTACGGAAATAAAACCAGAAATCGAGGGTAACACGGATAAGACGTCACTGTTAGGTGACACAATGGCACGGGCCGTTACACTGATTAAAATAGCTGATTTCTCTTCTCTTCTCTTTTTCGCTTTGTCTGAATCATTTGGGATCTTGAAAGTACACAAGTCAACAAAATATAAACATTGTTCTAGCATTTTTGGGATATTTTAATCCAAAAATCTTACATATTGTGCCTTTACGTGAACTTGTTTGAACAATGTGATCAAAAGGGTAAAAAATAAAATATCAAGGAAAAGAAGTCACACGTCATCATTCTCAGACTAAGACACATGGGATCGGTTGCATTAACCGCTAAGACTAGTCTTACAAGTTGGACTAATTAGACAATCAAATTGCTAAGACTTACCATAGCTTTTTTACCCGTAGATTAGCCCAATTGTATACCGAAAAGTAAGACTGACTGCGAGTGGGTCATCTTAACACAATAGCTGTGTTTATGCATCCGGCCCTCTATTCTCAAAGTGACTATTTACTCATGATATAAGTGTGAAAGTAGTTTTCAAAATTCCTGAATCCTTCTACTACACACCACTAGAGGATGCTGTTTTGATAGTGTTATATACTGGAATTTTCTAACAGTAGTTGGCAAATGTGTGTGGTTTGTTGTGACAAGACAGACGCTGTAAAATGAGCATTTTTATTCCTGAGACATTTATTCATCATATTCATTTATTCAACACTTTCCAGAATTCAAAATACCAAAAAAATCAAGCCAAAAATATGCACACACTGTACCATTACCTCAAAAAAACTTAACAAAATTGTACCATATTATTATATAAATTCTTAAATAAATATGAAACAACATAACACCATTTTCACATACTTTAGTTTGCATTTAATAATCTGTACTGTTACGTCCTATGAGTGTGTTCAGAACATAGAGCATTTATCTGGGCCCTGCCACAGCACCACGACAGTATTCTTTTTAACAGTTTTAAAAGTTTGGGGAGGAAAAATAGAATTTAGAAGTGGCAATGACAAAATAAAGGGGGGGGGGGGTGCTAAAGTTTAAACATTTGCATTTCTGCTGAAACGGTAAAGCAAAGGTTATAGACTGGAACGTCTCTCAATAAAGCAACAGTAAGCCAAAACAAAAGGAAAATGCAAAAAGTCACCACATCCGATCCACAAAAAGGAACACAACAACTGGGCCAGGCAGGACACAGATCATGCTTTGGATAAAGGTTCTGCTTGCTTTATGCTGCTTCCCTCCTGATTGGTAAGCAGGTGCAGCTGGGCACGCCATCAGCTACAGTACCTGCCAGAGTGAAGGAGTGGGAGGAGCCAAAGGAGAGCAGGAGACAAAATACAACAACAAAAGAAAGCAAACACATACCACAGTACCATACAGTCCTCGCAAAAATATACGAATTTGAACGTAACACTACTAAAAGTATAAATATATCAAAACCCGGTGTGGATTGTGAAGTGAATCTGTAATACCAAAACTGAACTCTTGTGTGAGAGTAAACTGTTATGAAACCTTTGGGGACTGTGGTAAAGATTCAAGTATTTCACACAGACACAGCTGCAATATGGGCAGCACAATCTGGGCATTTTATAAAGCTGGCAAACAGACTTCAAATATAAATAAATCAAACAGCACAGCACAACATATACTTGCTGTAAGAACCAGAACACACTAAATAATCATAGATTAACAGCCACATTCCACCACAAAACAAAACTCTAATTCTATATAAACCATCATTCACCTGCATAAGCTATCAAGAACTGATGTTACTAAAAGCTATTCTTAAGGGGGAAATTATTTACTTCACAGTTTATCACGTAGCAGTGAGGAAAGCAAATGCTAAATCCATTAAAGAAACATTACATTATATAAATAATTGATTACAATATCATATAAACATCTACAAAAATGTCATCATTATAAGTTAGATAACAGTAATAACATCAAAGTAACTCAAAAAAGTCCCCTTTGTCTCTACATACATCTCTGAGTTTGGCATTGTGTTTGTGTATATGAGGTAATATAGCTTATACGTGTGAAAGACATTGTGAAATAATGCTGGTTTAATGACATCAACTCTAAAACAACAGTCTCAAATTAGCATCGTAGAACTAGCATAGTGTTCTTTAATTGGGTGCTACTTTGCCTTGGGAATGTATTGTTATTATTTATTTATTATATTTTTTTTTTCAAAATAAATAACGTTGGATTGACATGTTATATTCTCAACGTACTTATATGGCTGTCTTCTTTCCAACATTTTATTCTGCCAGTTCTGATTTTCAGAAGAAAATGTTCTCTATAACAGTGCTTAGGTTGTGACCTATAACCATTTTAGAATGATTACATGGTGGTTTCACTGTTGCGATGCTTGAGAGAGTCGTTCTCTTGACAAATCAGCTGATATGGCTTTTCATTCTCCTCGATCACAGAGTTGTTCATTTCTACATCTTGGTTCTGAAGTTCCTGTCGTGACAGATGCTCAACAATCCCAGCACCAAATGAATCTCCCAGCACATTGGTGGTGGTCCTGAGTCGATCCCTGAAAAACCACACCAAATATTTATATTATAGCCCTTTTTTTACACCTCATTTCTGACAACTGTGAGTGGTGTTTGCAGTGTAAAACTTGTCAACGCAATGCGGGAGTGTTGCCGTGGTTGTCACAGTGTTGCTAGGTAATACCCATGTTATTTTTATGGTGCTGCAATGCAAGTGCTAAGGTGTTCTGTGTGATTTTCATAATGTTGTTATGCAGTTCCTAGGGCGTAGTGGGTGATTGCTAAGGCGTTGCTAGGTGGTGTAAGACTGAAGAAACTGGAAGAACTGGAAGAGAGGGCTACTCTCTGAGAAAAAAAAGGAAATTAACATTTAAACTCTCTTTCTATATTACCATCCCCATTCGAGACACGATCGCACTTGAGTTGATCACCTCCCAATTTACACATCCTTCCCTTCACCCATCCCTACCTGAATTCACCCAAAAATCATACAATATTATACATGTTTGGTATCATTTGAAATGTCTCGGTGCGACTGGTACAAAGGTCTCGTTCCCACAGAAGTAAACTAAAAAGGTAATAAGGTGTGGAGAGTTTAGAGATATCTTGCTGAACTGATATCTGATATCTGAATATCTTGTTGAACTGCTGTGGGTGTACCTCCATGTCTGTCCCCAGTAAGTCTAGGACGGTGATTAATGCAAATTCCCACTGTGAACTCATGTTTGTTGAAAAGAGATTTCTAGGGAGATGCTGAAGAATGCTTGTGTCACATGATTTGTGACAAAGTTTAATATTTGAATCAGTCACTGAAGAGAGAACATTCATTGTTTTTAAATTCAGTGATAAGTATTATGGAAGCACAATATGAGAGTGGAATGTGTCAATGCTGCTAACACTCCTTCAGATTAGCATTCTGCATTATGTATCAATAACCTTTGAAAGAGTGCTCTCTACTGGAGCCGCATGCTTCAACGTGACATTTGAGAGAGACTCACAGGAACCAGTCCACTGCGATGATCAGTGTAATGTCCTCTGTGGGCAGTCCCACCGATGTCAATACTATCACCATAGTAACCAGCCCAGCCTGAGGGATGCCTGCTGCTCCGATGCTAGCGGCAGTCGCTGTAATACTGAAAGAAACATGAGAGCTTTTTTATTTGGAATAACTTGAAACTTTTCCAAAGTTTTTTGGAAAATAGCTCATAGGAGATGTTGGCATGGCAATGAAGGCAATTGGCAAAGTACAAATGTTTTTCAAAATGGATGAGAAGAGATAAACACTGCCAGAACTAACCTGATGGTGAGGATCTGGCCAAAGTTCAGGTCCATGTCATTGACCTGTGCAATAAAAATGGCCGCCACTGCCTCATACAGAGCTGTGCCATCCATGTTGATTGTGGCTCCAACTGGTAGCACAAAACGTGTCACTCGTTTGTCCACATGGTTGTTTTCTTCAAGACAACGGAAAGTGATGGGCAGGGTGGCAGAGCTGAGAAAGACAAGAAAATAATAACTATGAGATGCTTTTATGAGATGACCGAGATGCTCGTGGTCAGTCCCCGCGAGCATCTCATGCTCATTCTCCTCAGTCGAATTTCTGGATGAGTTTGGTGGCTCACCCTCAGGCAAGCTTAATTTCTCATTTGGAGCTCGAGAGGAAGATGAAGTGTCACTCAAAGCATCTGAGGGCGGGCTTATACCTTCCGACGCAGATGACTCTTCTGTTCTGCCGCCTTTGGGCATGACAGTGCAGTCTGAGGCTGATGCAGAGTTGGCAGCCATGCTTTCCCAGGCAGCCCTGAGCACTGGGCTTGAGTGGTCTCCACCACCCTGTCCTAAGTAGTAGGGTAGGGTAGTCCTGACCCAATTGTAATGCACAAGGGTATTCCTGACCCAGAGGTAAAGCACAAGGGTAGTCTTGACCCAGAGGTAATGCACAAGGGTAGTCCTGACCCAGAGGTAATGCACGAGGGTATTCCTGACCCAGAGGTAATGCACAAGGGTAGTCTTGACCCAGAGGTAATGCACAAGGGTAGTCTTGACCCAGAGGTAATGCACAAGGGTAGTCTTGACCCAGAGGTAATGCACGAGGGTATTCCTGACCCAGAGGTAATGCACAAGGGTATTCCTGACCCAGAGGTAATGCATGAGGGTATTCCTGACCCAGAGGTAATGCACAAGGGTATTCCTGACCCAGAGGTAATGCACAAGGGTAGTCCTGACCCAGAGGTAATGCACAAGGGTATTCCTGACCCAGAGGTAATGCACAAGGGTATTCCTGACCCAGAGGTAATGCACAAGGGTAGTCTTGACCCAGAGGTAATGCACAAGGGTAGTCTTGACCCAGAGGTAATGCACAAGGGTAGTCTTGACCCAGAGGTAATGCAAAAGGGTATTCCTGACCCAGAGGTAATGCATGAGGGTAGTCTTGACCCAGAGGTAATGCACGAGGGTATTCCTGACCCAGAGGTAATGCACGAGGGTATCCCTGACCCAGAGGTAATGCACAAGGGTATTTCTGACCCAAAGGCAAATGCACAAGGGTAGTCCTGACCCAGAGGTAATGCACGAGGGTAGTCCTGACCCAGAGGTAAATGCACAAGGGTAGTCCTGACCCAGAGGTAATGCACAAGGGTAGTCCTGACCCAGAGGTAATGCACGAGGGTATTCCTGACCCAGAGGTAATGCACAAGGGTAGTCTTGACCCAGAGGTAATGCACAAGGGTAGTCCTGACCCAGAGGTAATGCACAAGGGTAGTCCTGACCCAGAGGTAATGCACGAGGGTATTCCTGACCCAGAGGTAATGCACAAGGGTAGTCTTGACCCAGAGGTAATGCACAAGGGTAGTCTTGACCCAGAGGTAATGCACAAGGGTAGTCTTGACCCAGAGGTAATGCACGAGGGTATTCCTGACCCAGAGGTAATGCACAAGGGTATTCCTGACCCAGAGGTAATGCATGAGGGTATTCCTGACCCAGAGGTAATGCACAAGGGTATTCCTGACCCAGAGGTAATGCACAAGGGTAGTCCTGACCCAGAGGTAATGCACGAGGGTATTCCTGACCCAGAGGTAATGCACAAGGGTATTCCTGACCCAGAGGTAATGCACAAGGGTAGTCTTGACCCAGAGGTAAAGCACAAGGGTAGTCTTGACCCAGAGGTAATGCACAAGGGTAGTCCTGACCCAGAGGTAATGCACGAGGGTATTCCTGACCCAGAGGTAATGCACAAGGGTAGTCTTGACCCAGAGGTAATGCACAAGGGTAGTCTTGACCCAGAGGTAATGCACAAGGGTAGTCTTGACCCAGAGGTAATGCACGAGGGTATTCCTGACCCAGAGGTAATGCACAAGGGTATTCCTGACCCAGAGGTAATGCATGAGGGTATTCCTGACCCAGAGGTAATGCACAAGGGTATTCCTGACCCAGAGGTAATGCACAAGGGTAGTCCTGACCCAGAGGTAATGCACGAGGGTATTCCTGACCCAGAGGTAATGCACAAGGGTATTCCTGACCCAGAGGTAATGCACAAGGGTAGTCTTGACCCAGAGGTAATGCACAAGGGTAGTCTTGACCCAGAGGTAATGCACAAGGGTAGTCTTGACCCAGAGGTAATGCAAAAGGGTATTCCTGACCCAGAGGTAATGCATGAGGGTAGTCTTGACCCAGAGGTAATGCACGAGGGTATTCCTGACCCAGAGGTAATGCACGAGGGTATCCCTGACCCAGAGGTGATGCACAAGGGTAGTCTTGACCCAGAGGTAATGCACAAGAGTAGTCTTGACCCAGAGGTAATGCACAAGGGTATCCCTGACCCAGAGGTAATGCACAAGGGTATTTCTGACCCAAAGGCAAATGCACAAGGGTAGTCCTGACCCAGAGGTAATGCACGAGGGTAGTCCTGACCCAGAGGTAAATGCACAAGGGTAGTCCTGACCCAGAGGTAATGCACGAGGGTAGTCCTGACCCAGAGGTAATCCACAAGGGTAGTCCTGACCCAGAGGTAATCCACAAGGGTAGTCCTGACCCAGCAGTTAAATGCACAAAGGGTAGTCCTGACCCAGAGGTAATGCACGAGGGTAGTCCTGACCCAGAGGTAATCCACAAGGGTAGTCCTGACCCAGAGGTGATGCACAAGGGTAGTCCTGACCTAGAGGTAATGCACGAGGGTAGTGTTGACCCAGAGGTAATGCACGAAGATAGTCCTGACCCAGAGGTAATGCACAAGGGTATTCCTTGCCCAGAGGTAATGCACAAGGGTAGTCTTGACCCAGATGTAATGCATGAGGGTAGTCCTGACCCAGAGGTAATGCAGGAACAGCGTCCGGCCATCGACTATGAATAAGGGGATAAACATATAAGTGAAGAGAGTTCCCTGGGTACATCAGCGTTGATCTGAAAGAGCCAATTTCTTTAGGCGGATCACGTTTTTTTAAATATGCCTTTCCAACCATGCTCTTCTGGCTCCCGTGTCCTTCGTGGATGCTTCATGCTCTCTCAGCGAAAGCATGCCCATTGAGGCTTTGTGGCTGATTCCCGTTTGGTCCTGAAGGCGATCTGAGGGCTACAATGAGAGAGCTGCTGCCAGGTCAGTCCCCTTGAGTCATCATAAGGGGAAGGCTGTCTTCAAGCAATGAACGGGCCACTGGATTGTGGATGCCATTTTCTGGGCTTATCAGGCCCAGGATGTACGGGAGTGAAGGCACACTCCACCAGGAGTTTCGCAACCATATCTGCTCTGCCAACCGGTCTTCATTAGCAACCATATGTAGAGCTGTTGGCTACACCCAACACTATTGCGAGATTTTATAATCTACACATTGAAATAGTTTCTATTAGTTTCTATAGTTTCTAATCTTGAGTCTTAAGTAATAACAGGTACAAATCAGACAAACTGGTTGGATGTAGTGCTTGCATTACCACCTCTCCCCTCCCTGAGGTGATAACGTGCACTTTTTAGGTCCAGTCTGAGTTTCCCTTAAATGTTGAACCCTGAACCCCTTTTCAGATGAGCCCTTGTAATGTGGCTACTGTATGTATGTTGAGCTTTTCAGATGAGCCCTTGTAATCCGGCACCGTATGTAGTTGTTCCCTAATGGTGACCCTATATGATGTATTCTTTCACTGTTCAATTTCCCCTTCGGTGAATCCAGTGTCTTCCCTGGACGGAGCTAGCTCTGTCACCAGTCGCAGTGAAGCAGGTAGTCTCCCCCTCGTCAGGTGGAGCCCACTACAGGGACTCTTCTCTATGTAGTACTTCCCACTGTTGAGTCTATAGGATGTATTTTCCACTTACTAACCTACTAACCCAACTAAAATTATATTGTCAAATTTTATTAGAATAAAATATTAAAAATATGTCACATCTTGCACAATACAAAACAATGCTATCTATAATCTACAGAATATCCTAAATACTACCAACATCTGATTACCATTAGATATAGCAAATATTTTATTTACACAGGTACAGTAGTTACCTGGATGAGGTGCCTAGAGCGGTGATCAGAGCCTGTAGCAGCCCAGCAATAAAGGTGAAAGGGTTCTTCTTGGTCACCACAAAGAAGAGCAGAGGCAGAACGAACAGGCCATGGATGAGTAGCCCGACAATGACAGATACCGTGTACATCCCTAATTGTCCGCCCACTTGAACAAGGTCTTTCATCTCTACAATCTTCCCTGCAATCAGGAAGAGGATACCCACTGGAGCGTACCTGCTCAACAGAGGTCAGATGTGACAGACAATTTACAGCAATAATAGTTCATTCTGCATACATACATATATACATACATAAATAGAGCCTTTAAATTCAATATATTGAGATGAAATTTAAATAAAAAGTATATTAAAGATTTTCATTTCTATATTAAAACAATTGCTCTTACTCCAGCCAATGACAAATACGTTATCAGAAAGCCAATTTCCAACACAGTTGAGTAGAAAATATGATTCTATAAATCATAATAAAAAAGTAATCTGTAAGCCACAAATAAAGTGTTGCAAAATCATGGCTTTGCATCTTATTACATTGAGAAAAAAATTCTCATAATAATGACGAAGTTAATAATAATGAGAACCTTTCTCATTATGAAATGACACTTCATATTATGAACCTTCAAAATAAACATTATGCAGTTAATATGTCATCATAATATTTAGAAAAAAAATCTCATAATGATATTGTTTATCAATATAAAATGAGACATTATAATAATAACTTGTGTGTAGTAATGAGAAGAGAGATTGTGTAATTTACAGAATTACTTACTCATCTGTGGCAGAAAAGGAAAACGGGAAAAAAAACTGGAAAAAACAAATATATATACCATATATATATACCAAGTTCATAGAAAGTTGAATTCAGGTGTCCATTTTCCATTTTATGTCATATATTACACACTTTGTTCAATGATTCCACTATGTCTGTATTCTCTCGACTACTGCAGTACTTTTACAGAGATGTATTTACTGTACATGTAGAACCATAATGAAACCTGTATAACTTATTTTGTTCAACAAATTATTATTATATTATAATAATTATATATTAATTATATTAGTATTATTATATGTCTCTAATTATTGTACAAACAATGACACAGTGAAACTATCGGTTGTTTTTTGTATGTGTGGGATCTATAGTTTTTAAATTTGTAAATTTGTTTTTGAACCAATGATTGTGCATATGCAAGATGATGATAAAGATGTGAATGCACAATTCAATGATTTGAACATTAGACAGCCTGTGTTACAACTTACAAGTGATAATTGTTTTGAGTTTTGTGTCTAGTTTTGAAAAATTACATCAAGGTTATCCAAAAAATTCTAAAATAAACCTTTGAAGAGGTGTATTCCAGTCGTTATATCTATGAATTGCATTTTTTAAAAATGTTGATGGTATCATGTCATTGAATCTTAAATGACTAACTCACAATTGTCAGGGCCATCATAATTTATATAGTTTATAGGTTATCAGAACATCATAATTGGACACTAACCAGATAATGATGGCCACCAAGCGCATAATAGCTTCGTTCAGGCAGTCAAAGAAGTCCCGGAGAGCCTGGCCCTGCTGTTTCATGTTTCCAATCACTAATCCGAAGCACATGGAGAAGACCACCAACCCCAAGGCATTCACCCCATTTGAGGAACCTGAGACAGGAACCACCTCTTCCACCGTCTCCTGGATGGTCTGCAGGATTGTGCTGAAGTTGGATACTTGACTGAGATCTGTAGAGTTGATGCTGTCTGTCGCATTGACCATGATGGTGACATTTTTTGTCAGCAAAGTTTTCTTGTATAGTGTTTTGTACTGCAAGAAAAATGGGTGATTAGTAATATCTGTTACATGTACCAAATGAGTAGAGGCACGTTCATGTTATGGAAATGTATTAGGAGAGGATTTACAGACCTGTTTAAAGCAGGCTTCAACTAAATTTGGTGGAAACATATTTCTGTAGAAACAACAAGAAAAAAATCAGATCCCATAACATCTAATAAATAAACAAGGATTTCAACAGTCAAATGAAACTTTCTCCCCACCTTATCAGGTCCAGAAATGCATCAGCGGCCTGCACTGGCTCAATGCTGCCACTAGAGGCCACTGGCCTATCCCTGCTTCCTTTACCCGGCCTGATAATAATCACTATGACAATACCGATGAAAACTGCTATAAGCGTAGTCACCATGTAGTAGACAACGGCCCGGATTCCCATCTTCCCAGAAGCCTTGCTGTCCAAAGAGGAAATTCCTGCACAAAAACATGAAGAACCAAGACACAAAGGATCTGTAGTTGAGCATTTCTACTTAAATGACAATAAAACACCAATGTTTCTGCTCAATTTTTAAATATATTAATGTAGTACAGATAATTTCATATATATAGCTGTCATATACACTAACCACTGAAAAGTTTGGGGTCAGTCAGAGGTTTTTTTTAGTCTCTTTTAAAAGAAGGCTGTATTTACTTGATCAAAAATATAGTAAAAACAGCAATATTGTGAAAAATTATTACAAAATAACTGTTTTATATTTAAATATATTTTAAAATGTATTCCTCTGATCAAAGCTGAATTTTCAGCATCTTTATTCTAGTTTTCACACAATCCTTCAGAAATCATTCTAATGTGCTGATTTGCTGCTCATAAAACATTTCTTATTATTATCAATGTTGAAAACAGTTGTGCTGCTTAATATTTTTATGGAAAGCGTTTATGGAAAGATTTTTTTAGGATTCTTTGATCAATAGAAATTTCAACCAACAGAATTTATTTAAAATGAAGAGTTCAGATGCAAAAGCCTCTAAGTGCCATTTGAAATTTTCTTCTAGAATGATCATTTTTATCAAGCTTGTATATTTAAGTTCAGTGATTTCACTTAAATGGCAATGATAATTACCTATTAATTGTTATTTAAGTGAATTTACTGAACTTATACAAGTTTGATAAAAATCATCATTAAAGAAGAAAATTTCAAATGGCATTTAGAGGCTTTTGCACCTGAACTCTTCAAATAGAAAAAATCAGTAACATTATAATTGTCTTTACTGTCACTTTTGATCAAGTATTAATTTATTTTTCTTTTTTTATTTTGTCTTTTTCACCTCAAACTTTTGAACAGCAGTCTATATAATATATTTTTAAACATTTGAAGATGTAGCCTATATATTAATAGTAGTTAATGTATTATGAACAAACATAAATAAACAATGAACAATTAACCTAAATTAATAAATGCTTTAAAATTGTTGTTAATGCATCTAATAGCACCTAATGCATTAACTAATACAAAGGAATTTAAAGTGTTAGCGAATTATCTGCAAAGATTGAAGTTTTGTAGGCGCACCTGTGACAAGGCTGGAGACGATGAGCGGTAGAACAAGCATTTGAAGCATCCTCATAAGCAGCTCTCCAGGGAAAGAGAAATACTTCACCTCCCTGATGGACAGGTTATGAGGTCTCAGGGCAAAACCCAGCATCACCCCTACATACAATTAGAAATTTAAAATGAAACGTCTGTTAACACTTTCATACTTCACACTTCTCTCCCTTTTACCTTTTTACCTAAAGCCACAGCAGCCACTGTGAAGATTACAAACGCATTCCTTCGCAGGAATGTCTTGACGCCGTCTCGTGTGATGCAGCCCATCTTTCGCCTACTTCCTGACATCTGCTTCTGTAATACTCGACACAGACGGTGGAGCCCCTCCTCAGCACGCTGTGGCTTCTCAGAATCTTCACTCAGAAACAGGCTGGTGCTGTTTGGAGGCTTCTCATTCATAATCAGCTCTAATACATGGTCCAAGAGTGTTTCATGGGAAACTGTGGCAGAACATTGAGAAAAATTATATAAATACATTTTTTGTGACTTGCAATGTTTCATGACTTAAAGTTCACTATGTCTGAAAGAGTGTCTGTTCCCTGGTGGTGGGCACAAGACGTTTGGTCAATCTAATGACACTAGGGTTTGCACTTGGGAGCCCCAAACACCTCTGAGGCCCCGTCCACACCACTGCGTTTCTGTTTAAAAACGGAGAATTAAAACAAATACAATCTCCGTCCACACCAGCGTTTTATCTGCGTATTAGAATTGATCTCCGTCCATATTAAAACGACTGAAAACGCGGATCATGTGACCATTCACAAACACTGGGCATGCACGTGCCGGTGTAAACAGTCGCTGACGAATCAGGAAACGTCAGGATACGTCATGACTGATGACACCCAATCATAGAGCCGAGCGTCAGCCTCTGCGTCATCGTTTCTAAACTTCTCTGTTTTGTTCCGTCTACACTAAAACACCCTCCGGAGATTCAAAATGCAAAACAGAGCTGCAGCGTTTCTAAACTTCTCCGATTTAGGTTTTCGTTTTTCCCGTTTTAGTCTGGACGGGAGGTGCAAACGTAGCAAAAGGTCTCCGTTTTTAAACGAAAACACAGTAGTGTGGACGTGGCCTGATATTTCAGAAAAGACCAATGAGAATTAGCCTTTCGCCGAGCCCCGCCCCCCTTAGTTACTGTTGATATCTCCGTCAAACAAATGGTCAAACACGGGCAGCGCGACAGATTGCCATGACGGCAAAGGGTATTCCCGTGCGTGTCAGTGACCTTTTTTGGAGCAATACCTCCGCGATATCAAGCAAGATCGAAGCAAAAGGGGTTATGCGGTGGAGGGATTTATTCCAAATATAAAATTAAGAAATGAATGAGACACGACTACTATTGATGCTAATGCTTACCAGTCTCAAGAAAAATCAGAAAAACCCCATGACCATGCTAAGTTACCTCAAATGAAACCAGCACAGCCTTAAAGATTTTATAAACTGGTTCAGTGGCTAATTGTTTGGAGTTCGAAATATATAACTTGCGCTGCATATTTATTCATGTTGCCTCCGATACAGGAGTAGCTACACATTCGCTTTAACAAGCAGGTTGTTCATTACCACAGCAACCGATTGCGTGTCATGCTCATGCTGAATGCGATTTTCGTGTTTAAAAAGTAACTAACGTTATGCATAAGAGACGGAAAGAGGCAGAGAACCATACGTTATTTAAGGTTATTTCTATTCGTTACGATATTGATATATGAACTGATGTTGTCATGTAAGCTTCATGCTTTCCCCGTTGCGAACGTCCTCTAAACTGTAGTCTACGGTGCTGCACTGCTAACTTAGCTGACTGCTGCTCATTTTCCCAGAGAATATCATGGTATGTTAACAACAACCCTTTAGAAAATGTACAGTAAGTCCTTTGTGGATCCTCTTGATCTGCTTTCTCCGTGCTTCTTTGACTAATCTCAGTCGCACGCACGCTGCACGCGAGACGAGTTAACCATGTTCGACACATTTAACTGGAATTGGGGCGCCCACACTGTTTAATACATCTTAGGCACGGCTCGTGTTGTGTTTTGGGCTTTGGAAAGGGAAAAACACAACTTCTCCAGACAATCTCTCGGGGTATCATGCATCCGATTTACAAACGCCGTGGGCGCACCGCTTACTGTTTGACGGAACAGCTCACACGGTAACGGTTGCTATGATGTGTGATTGGACAATGGCCATTTTGTGGGAGGGGCCGGCGAAAGGTCAATTGGTGAGTTAAATGTGCATGCCACTCCCCAAGACATATGGGTATAAAAGGAGGTGGCTTGCATCCATTCCTTTAGGAGCCGAGATAGTGTCCCAGCCATTTAAGCAGTAGTTCAGTGTTGTGGCAGGAGGGAAACAACAGCTGTGTCCCAATGTGAAGGCTGCATCCTTCGAGGGCTGCAGACTGCGAAGGATGCAGCCTATTCATCCTTCGAAGGACGCACCATGTAGCCTTCGTTGGATTTCCTAATTGTGCAACCAGGTGTTAGTAGGTGTACAGGTGTAACCACAAGGAAGTACCACATGGGGAAAGAAGTCTCTATGGTGGGTTCTTCCTAGCAAGAGAAACTTCACACCCATAGCAACTGGTGACAGCACAAGGCTCAATGGAAGACACGGTGCAAAATACATCAAATGGGATTACCAACAGGGAATCAGCATATGGAACACCCAATCCAAGTGGGCATACCACAAGTAATGGGCCTTGCAGCGAACTCCTCTGCCGTATTCCGCTACTGATTAGTACTGGAGAATAGGAGGGCTTCCAGGGTTTGCCAGACACAGGGAACTCTCATGGACAAAAAGCCCAAGTTATCACCTTAAGGAGGAGAAAATCACTCTATGCAAGCAATACACACTGCCAGTTGCCCGAAATTTACCTATTCGTACCTGATAACACGAAGAAGATACTGACTCAACTCGGAGATTGTAAAATATTCTAAAGGTGATGGCTGTAGCCCAGCCTGTTGCTTTACAGATGTCTCTTAAAGAGGCACCATTCACTAATGCCCAGGAGGATGCGACACTCCTTGTGGATTGTTCTCACACTCCCATAGAGCCCGACATGCCCTGGATTTGGTATGCCAAAGAAATAGCTTCAACAATCCAGTGGGCAATCCTCTTTTTGTGGACAGCCTTCCCCTTCTGCTGTCTCCCAAAACAGACAAAGAGCTGATCACAGCATCTGAAGCTCTCCATGCTGTCAAGGTAAATTTGCAGAGCATGCACTGGACACAGCAACGATAAGTCTGGGTCTGTCTCATCACAAGGGAGCACTTGGCATGTTCACCACCTGATCCCTGAAAGAAGTAGTGGGAACTTTGGGCATATAGCTTGGCCAGGGTCGCAGGGTTTCATGAGAGTATGCTGGACCTAACTCAAGGCATGTCTGACCCCCAAAGAATGCTTGCATGGGTTGACCTTGGAGGATTTAACTTCCTGGTACCTCTAAGTAACATGATGATCAGGTCGTACTTCCCAAGCTTATCGTCCACTGCATCATGATGTGCCAATTGTGGCCACATACATTTAAGGTGGAGGAGAACAGCCTCCTCCCCAACCTTTCCTGCAGAAAGGAAAGCACTGACCTGACCATGCATTTTTGTGGTCCTTAACCCCGGGCGACCAGACGCCACTTCAATGCATACAGCCACCTCATTGAGGGGGCCCTGGCTTGAGTGATAGTGTCTACCACATGCTCATTGGGGGAAACGCATGCTTGCGTAGGCCCCAGGGCCAGCTGTGGGCAATGGGAGTATTCCCAGGAAGCGATCAGATCTACCTGTGTTTTGCTAAATTGACTCGAAATCTGATGGACCACCTAGAGTCCCCACTCTTCACTGTCATTGACGAAGTGAACTAACAGGCCCTAGACGGAATTCTAGGATGATTCCACCAGGTGGTGGTGCTCTGCGGGCACAAATACACTGCAATTGCCTCCTCAACCTGTGTATCGTTTGTACCCCCTGACTACCCCACGATCAAGGGTAGTGAGGATGGAAGAGCTTGTGAAGCACAACATGGCAGTGAAAGGTGCCTTCCATGACCATGCACTTCCGGGAAGAAATAAACTAGGCCAGAGCGTGTCTGTGAGCAGCACTCTGAACCCAAGAACCAATCATCCAACCACGAACACTCAGGGCATGGTGGAGGGTTCCACTGAAGCCCAATGTTCATGGTGGGTACAGGCAAGCATGGCCACTAACTAGGCATCTGCCTCAGACTGGGCTCCCAACCAGATGGTGGGGGTTAAGACAAGTCCTCACCATCTTAAGGCAATAGCCCACCCTACAACTATTGACAACTCCTGTGCCATCGACAAGCTCTTCTCGAGCCCCTAATGAGAAATTAAGTTGAGACGAGATGAACCTAACTCATTCATGAACTCAACCAGGGGAAACGGGAGTGCCAGGTAATGACAGTCCCGTGGGCTTCCATTGAAATCCCAGATCGCCATGCACTTGCAGTCAAGGCCTTGCTTGACAGCAGAATAACCAGGACATTGAGCAACTGAAGTGACTTCCTGACTAAAAAAAGAAAGAAAGTCGTGACCGGGGAGCTCTCTGAACTTAACAGTGCATTCGGAAGAGAGATCACTGTAATGCGATATCCCAGCAGATTAAGGTTTCCTTCTTTTTACAGAGGTGAATCGAATGAGCGATTGCACCTGCAACCACTTTGCTCCGAAGAACAAACCATCTCCTTTTATTGCCATAAGTCCGGGGAAATGGGAAATGGTACACAATTCCACTCGTCAATTCTCATTGGCCTTTTCGCCTGCTTCAGAGGTGTTTGGGGCTCCCAAGTGCGATGCTGCGATCCCTAATGTCATCACATCAACACAGTATTTAAGAGACTGACAGATAGGAAATTATAATTAATGACACCATGATGTTAAATTCATGAGTAAATTAGTTTTGTCAGTTTTGCCATATCAGTTTGAGCCCAATCCGATTATAACAGTCAAGAAGAACAAAATGATCGATCTTATATATATATATATATATATATATATATATTACACACTAAAGGAAAGGTAAAATATATATATTTTTAAAGCATGATATGTCCCCTTTAAACCTATATCTCAAACAGTCACAAGACATGTGACAATGTCGGTTATGGTGAGACTATGGTGAGAAACGTTGTTGAATAAAAAGTTTGTGATATGCAAGTTAGGATAGTGTGCGGGATCTTCTCTTTGGCACATTTTCGACTGATTTATTTTTGGTGTTTTTTTTCTTATGCACCTACCAATTGCAGGTGTGCGATGGTTTTTACATTTTATAATTTATGGTGAGACTTAAAATGGAAGTGAATGGGAAACTATTTTTAAGGACTTAAAAGCTGGAATCTAAAACAATTTTTAAAAAGCACTAACATTAATTAATCTGTTAAAATAAATGTATTATTTGAGCTGTAAAGCTGTTTAAATCGTATTTTTTACAGTAATTTTAGAGTTTAAGAGCTTATTGCATTCTGTTGTCACAGCAATAAAGTTGTAAATTATAGATATAACTTTAGATTGAAAAAGTTAGTTAGTGATTTTTTCACAATAAATACTTGTTAACATACTTCTATAACACTTATTTTTGAAAACCGATGTCCATCATAGTTTATGCCAATTTTTTATCAGATAAATAAATATATCTTTTGTCTGAGTTTGAGTTGGATCTTTAATTGTTTTTTCATTGTATTATTGTTCCCTGTTCTGTCTCCTTCATTTGCATTTGTTACTATGGCTATTTATTGTTTGATTAATGTGATCCACCTGTTTCTCGTTTCTTCGCTTTGGTAAATTGGTATATATTGAGCCCGTTTTCTGTTAGTCTTGATTCTGATTTTGTCTAAGGTGGTTGTTTTCTTAGTGGTTTTGAGAATTCTGTGACGCCTAAGTATTTTGAGTTTGTTAATAAATTAAAGACTGCTGAGAGAAGACCCTGCTCCCATGTTGCAACCAGTCATGATGACACATAGCTAATGTGACTTTGTATCTTGCAATTTTATGTCTTGTGGTTGCCTCTATTTTTGTCACAACTGCCTTTTTTAATGTTTTACTTTGAAGCTTGTTTGAATATTTTGGACATGGTGTTAAACATTGGAAAGACAGCAATCCTGTCAGGAATATAGCGAAGGTATATTCCTATATAAGGGATATAAAGGTATACTATTCCTAGTTTCACTATGAAACAACTCATAAAAATTAATTTGTCATTGTTTACTCACTTTTGTCATTCCAAAAATATATGGTAATTTCTTTTTTCAGTGTAACAGTTTTTTTTTTTTTTTTTTAGATTATCATATTGTAAGAATTGCTCTTTTCCATACAATGCATGGATATTGTGGCTGTCAAGCTCCACGCCAACGCACACAAAAAGTATAATAAAAGTGATCCTTTTTGTTCCAAGGGAAAAATAAATAATATGGGTTAGAAACATGAGTAAACAATGAAAGAATTTTCCTTCTGGAAGTGCATTATTCCTTTAAAACTCTGATCCTTGACTTTCTAGAAAAAAAATACCTGAAATTATGGACTGGCTAACAAAAAGAAATCAAGCATCATACAGACAACTGACCAAATGACTGCTTGTCTAATGGCAAAAGGTGTCTGAAAAATAAAAACATCATAGCACGTCAAGAAGAAAAACTTTAGAACAAGACCAATGGTAAATGTTTAGTATTGTTTTAGTTAGACTGTAAGTAAACAATCACCCAGCAAATCCAATTCCAATATTTTCCTAATTAATCAACAGTATAAAACCATGAGATGGGTTCACTCACCACTCATGTTTGCTCTGCAGTGGGTTAGTGCTGGAGGTACTGGACTGAACTGACCATAGGTAAAGCTCAACTTGTGCCAAACACACATGAAACAGCGTATATGTCCTGACTCTCTCACCCTCTTTGTGACCCCATACTGAGAGACACTGGAGGTACAAATCATACCTTTTGGCCTGATCTAGGGCCAGTTTTTACTCCATTGATCCCTACTTGGTGGTCTGATCACTGATCTTAAATCAGCATAAATCCAAACAGCCCAGGTGAGCACTACAAAGCTGACCCACACCATAATCTCGCTCCTGTCCTTTCCACCGTCCAATAGTAAACTAACAGATCAGCACCTGTTCACACCAGAACACCACAAACTCACTGACAACATCAGTTCTCAGTTTTCTCCTAGGCTATTAGTGAAATTACATGATAGGTTTGAAAGAAAGAAAGAAAGAAAGAAAGAAAGAAAGAAAGAAAGAAAGAAAGAAAGAAAGAAAGAAAGAAAGAAAGAAAGAAAGGTTTTAAGAGGTTTTAAAACAATTAAAAAAGAAAGACAGAAATTATTGGATGCCTCATCCTAGCTCAGCTAAATTAAATGTTTGCATTTTGTAATAGCATATATTCAGACACATTGCATTTTAAAACAACACGACTTACCATTTCTCTGTAGCTCTGTTCTCCCGTGCGCGTTGTGGTAACGTCGCGTGCAGCAGAAGCTGGAGACTGGGTGATATTCTGTTTAAAGAGTTGAAAACGGCTGAGATTTTTGCGTGGGAAAGAGGAGTTACGATTTTTTCTTGAGAGAAAAAAAAATCAACCCACTGGCCGATAGCGCAAAGAATCAACACGTTAATAAAATCTCATTGGGGGAGGCGTTTACTACTGAGTGTATGTAGAGACAACACCCACTGTGCGTTAAACTGATAGATTCGTTTAATGGCTGTGACTGTTTAGCGGGACTTTGTCAATAATAGTATCTAAAGGTATTGTATGCGAAATATAATCTTCATCAAATGATAAATAAAGTCGTATTTTAAATGACAATGTTTTGTTGCACTGTACACTGTATGAGAAAGAGACAAATATTCAGCGTATCTCATTACCATGACAACATGATTGCTCACGCATGTTCAGGTCCAGCCTTCAGATCTGTGTGTGTGTGTGTGTGTGTGACCTTCTGCTCCGACTACCCACTCACCACCTACACAGTGTCTTAGGTCTGTTGTACTGTATAAACTCATCTCGCTCTTTTCTTCGTTTTCCCCAAGGAATCTAAGGAATCTGGCATTTCATACACACGAATTAATAGGGGTTATATCTTTATTTTTGCATCCATATATTTTTTAATAAATTATTTTGAACATTTTTACCAGTTGAGAACTCACAGAAAGCTATTAAATGTGCAAAGAAGTCAAAACATTGCTCCATTAAACACACACATGAAGATCTGCTGCAAGTAGATGACATTTCTGACCCTGGTACCAAAATGTAATGGGCTGAAAATGTGGATCTCGGTCTGCTTGTTTGGTGCACACCAGGGTTGGGATAGCAGCATAAACACTTATTCATGAACCGCACTAACAGAGCCATTGTAACTTTTAATCGCATCAATACCAAGTGTGATGTTGAACACGAATCATCGACATTATGCCACCTGCTTTGCCTTAATTTTCTAATAAAGATCAAATAAGTCTAATTTGTATTAATTTAGCAAAAATACTGTATAAGTGATTGTTGATATAACATATTAGTTAATAGAATTGGTCCAGGAACATTACATAAAAGGTTGAACGGATATGGTCTGAAGACACTCTCACTCACATTTTGTGAAGATCTGATGAACACACTAAGGCCCCGTCCACACTACTGCGTTTTCGTTTAAAAACGGAGACCTTTTGCAACGTTTGCACCTCCCGTCCACAAACATTTGATGTTTGTGTGTATAGTTAGTTTTGTGTTTAATATCACTATTAGTAAGGTTAGTATTATTACTGTATAATTAAAATTCAATATATTTAAAGCATACCTAACGTATACTATCCATCCATCCATCTTCTTCCGCTCATCCGGGGCCGGGTCGCGGGGGCAGCAGTCTAAGCAGAGATGCCCAGACTTCCCTCTCCCTAGACACTTCCTCCAGCTCTTCTGGGGGGATATTGAGGCGTTCCCAGGCCAGCCAGGATCCAGCGTGTCCTAGGTCTTCCCCGGGGCCTCCGCCCAGTGGGACGTGCCCGGAACAACTCCCCCGGGAGGCGTCCAGGAGGCATCCGGAACAGAGACCCCTCTCGATGTGGAGGAGCAGCGGCTCTACTCTGAGCTCCTCCCGAGTGACCGAGCTTCTCACCCTATCTCTAAGGGATCGCCCAGCCACCCTGCGGAGAAAGCTCATTTCGGCCGCCTGCATCCGGGATCTTGTCCTTTCGGTCATGACCCAAAGCTCATGACCATAGGTGAGAGTAGGAATGTAGATTGACCGGTAAATCGAGAGCTTTGCCTTACGGCTCAGCTCCTTCTTTACCACAACAGACCGGTACATCGACCGCATTGCTGCATAAGCTGCATCGATCCATCTGTCAATCTCCCGTTCCATCCTTCCCTCACTCGTGAACAAAACCCCAAGATACTTAAACTCCTCCACTTGAGGAAGGATTTCTCCACCAACCTGAAGAGAGCAAGCCACCCTTTTCCAACTGAGGACCATGGCCTCAGATTTTGAGGTGCTGATTTTCATCCCAGCCGCTTCACACTCGGCTGCAAACCGTCCCAGTGCATGCTGAATGTCCTGGTGTGAAGGGGCTAACATGACAACATCATCCGCAAAGAGCAGAGACGAAATCGTGTGGTCCCCAAACCTGACACCCTCCGGCCCCTGGCTGCGCCTAGAAATTCTGTCCATAAAAATTATGAACAGAACCGGCACCAACATGCACCGGGAAGTAGTCTGACTTACTAATGCGAACCAAGCTCCTGCTTCAGTCATACAGGGACCGGACAGCCCTTAGCAAAGGACCCCGGACCCCATATTCCCCATATAACCCCATAGCACCCTCCACAGGCCGCCTCGAAATCCACAAAACACAAGTGGACTGGTTGGGCAAACTCCCATGAACCCTCCAGCACCCTGTAGAGTATAGACCTGGTCCAGTGTTCCACCGCCCAGTAGGCTTGCTACAGTAGTCGGTGTTACCGGTGTTCAGTCGCAAAACCGGTTTTATGACATGCCCACCGTGGCACCGCGGTTGGCATGTGAGAAAAAAAGTTTAAAGCCTTAAAAATATTGAACGTAATTACGCAGTAGTCGTTAAATCCTGCCTATTAACACACACACGACCCATAGAAAAGACGCGCATTGATATTAAGTTCTCTTTCGGGCTTGAACAAACCATAACACACAAATTATGCCAAAAAGTCTATAAGAGCAGTCTTATGGCTCGTTTCCACTGAGGGGTACGGTACGGTGCGGTACAGTACAGTACGGGTCGGGTCGGGTACACCATGATCAGGCTTGCGTTTCCACACTCACTGATGATGGCTTAGGCCGAAACGCGTATGTGTGGACATGGTGAATGAATAAATCTTCATGAGATTTAACTAGAGAGTGCGGTTCTTTTTCTTTGCATTGATCACTGTTTTATAACTCGCACCCAAGAAACGTCTTGGTAGTTGAGCGCGCCTAGTTTGAGCATTATTGCGTTTCCACCGCCAACAGTACCCTTACTTGATAGGCGTGGTATGCTGGAAAGAAGCGATCGACGTCATTTTCGCGCGAAGAAAGCGACATAGTAAACAACAATGGATGACAGACAGCAGATCTTGTTCTTGCTTCGCGGCATGTTTGTCACCAGAAACAAGCGCTGGCATTAGGCGTTTCCAAGAAGCCAACGCAAAGTCCGACTCAGGAGAATGATCCCGAGGACGCGAGTCCAGTAATTCTGCTAATGAACCAGCGCGTTCTTGAACGCGGCACTGAGCTCGCTCTGGCTCTGCGACTCCGGTTATCTCTGTATGTTCATTTTAGGCAACAATAAAACGAAATATGTTATAAAACACCACTCTGCTTCTTTTCGATTTCATTTCAATACATTTTAAACATTCTAAAGCACATAAATGTGGTTCAGGCAACGATTGTCACTGCATGTATGTAACGTTATATTTATAACAAAACTAATTATAAAACAACCCTGCCTCTTTTCGTTTAAATTTAAAAATATTAAACATATTCCAGGAAATATCTAATGTAATGTATTGCATATCGCATTACAAATGTTGCAATAAACAACATTACAGATGATCTTAATAAAATAAATAAAAAATGACAAAACTATCTATTTTTGTTGAATTTCAATTTTATCAATAATAGCCATTATAAAAGTATACGTAAAAGGTACAAAATACAGTAAAGCTTAAATAATATCAAGAAACAATTCAGTCAGTCAAATATACAAATTCAGCGCTCAAAGATATGAAACTTCACGTAGCCTTCTGCCAAAACTATTGGCCAGGAAACGAATTATAGATTCACGAGACCAAAGATCACCTGTTAGGTTTAACGTTATACAAGACGAACTATATCTCATGTTTAACCACTACAGAGACGTCCGAGTCAGCGGTAAACATCAGGATGACTAGCCGAGGAAAGGCTGTTCCAAGCGGGGGACACGAGTGCGAGCGTCCGGTGATCGCTTGGAATGGATCTCAGTCAAATTATCAAAAATCTATAAATAAACCACAGATTTGATCTTTAAAAAACTACTTTCTCGCCTGAAAAAGTCTTAAAACTACATTTCGTGACACAATAACAGTAGAATTATATTTCAACTATATGCTTCTTTTTTTTTTTTTTTTTTTTTTTTGCTTCTAATGCCCTTGTAGCACGCGCGAGTGACGATACTCTGTCCACCAATCAGCGTTCTGCAGTGAGTCTAGCTCCACCTTTTAGTACCCTTTCACTGTGCTAGGTACCCTAACGAAAGGGTACCCAAAAAGTGGTACGGTACGGTTCGGCTTTTTAGTACCATTCACAACTTTTGACAGTGGAAACGCAAATAACCGAACTGTACCGTACCGTACCACTCAGTGGAAACGAGCCAAACGAACGTAGAAATTTGTGAGAAAATGGGACGCGTGTCAGATCGCGTCTCTGTCAGCAACGGCTGTTCGAACTCGCTCACTCGTTTTTACTTACTCCTTCTCATTCACTCCTTCAAGTGAACAGTATTAGTGGACTAATGTAGGGAATATGGAGGGTTTCATAAATATGAGGGTTTAGGGGCGATTTCGGATTCAACCCATGTTCTTAAGCAGTGAAAAATAGAGGACACTGACAACGCATTGTCAGACAGGAGCGAGCAGGTAATATTTAATATGAAACAGTCTCAACTTTCAAATTTGGTCAGTCAAAGAAAATCAAAAATAAATAGGCCTACCGTTTTGTGGCTCTTTAATGTGTCGTGTCAATAAAGCCAAGTTCCACCGACGTTAATCTACTAACTCTCCTGACTGCTTTGTCGGACAAAAATGGTGGATTTTGATTGGTCAGGTCACATGTCTGGCAATCAAAATTAGTTTATTTTTTTAAACTAGCGTATATTCAGGACACAATAACAAAACAGTTCTTTCCCGCACTACCGCACCTTATGTATGCCCATGAAAATGTGCGCATTTTACGTTTTCCTTTAAATTAACGATTTAAAAGCCCCCGCCGGTGACACCGGTATTACCGGTGGTGTCACACATCGATTAACCGGTGAGGAAATATCCTCATCGTCACAACCCTACGGCCCGGAAGAAAACCACACTGTTCCTCCTGAATCCGAGGTACACTATCGGCCATATTCTCCTCTCCAGTACCCTGGCACTCACCCTAGACTTTCCCAGGGAGGCTGATAAGTGTGATCCCCCTGTAGTTGGAACACACCCTCCGGTCCCCATTCTTAAAAAAAAA